TGGAAATTAATTCGGAATCTTGGCAACAATCCCGCCGTTCCGGCACCCAATCTGATAAAATTCACACCCGATCAGATAGCCCATCGTCTGCTGACAAATGGTAAGACGACATCAAGGAAGAACAAAGTGAAAGTACAACGAAATATCGACGAAGAAGAGGATGTTCTAGGTACTACCTTTTGCCTGGAGGAGATCAGAGGTGCGATCCACCAAATGAAAGTTAATAAAGCGGCTGGTCTAGACGATATACGTATAGAACAAATAAAGTACTTTGGACCAAAATCCCTAGAGTGGCTCGTAAAAATGATGAACTGTTGCGTCCGTACATTCTAAATCCCAAAAATCTGTAGGAAAGCTAGAGTGGTGGCCCTCTTAAAACCAGGAAAGGATCCGGCGGATACAAAGAGTTTTAGACCTGTCTCTCTTTTGTGTCACCTTTTCAAGGCGTTTAAAAGAACGATACTGAACCGGATCGCTGAATCTGTGAACACTAAAATTATTCCTGAACAAGCAGGGTTTAGACCCGGAAAATGCTGCTGCAGTCAAACTCTTAATCTCACCCAACATATTGAAGATGGGTTTGAACGGAAAGAAATAACAGCAGTAGCGTTCATAGACCTAACTGTCGCCTACGACACAGTTAACCATCAACGACTGCTGGCAAAATTCTACGAAATTACAAAGGATTTCCGACTAACATGATTAAAGAAATGTCTTTTTCAGAATAGACGCTTCTACGTAACGCTTGAGTCCAAGAACAGTTGGTAGAGGGACCAAAAAAAAGGAACCCCACAGGGAAGTGTCCTCGCGCCATTTCTATACAACATTTACACCAACGACCAACCCAAAAACCAACAAACAAGACAGTTTATTTACGCCGATGATACAGCTGTGGCAGCTCAGGGAAGTACTTTCAATGAAGTTGAAGTAAAACTGACAGATGCCCTAAAAGACTTAGCACTACACTATGACGAAAACCATCTCAAACCCAATATCACGATATATAAACGATATCACTGTCAAGATATCAAGAAAAAAGTAAGCGCCAGAAATATTATCATCCGCAAACTTACAAACACAAAATGGGGAGCACAACCACACACTCTCCGTACCTCTGCCTTAGCATTATGTTTTTCTGTCGCGGAGTTTGAAGCACCAGTGTCGAAAAAGTCTGCTCACGCTAAAAAACGTCGATGTTGCGTTAAACGAAACGGTTCATACAATATCTGGTTGCCTGAAACCGACACCTATCGCAAAGGTCTACCCTATAGTTGGAATAGCTCCACCTGCTATTAGAAGACAGGTCACGTCAGAGATAGAACGAGAGAAGCAAGAGACGGATCGAGGACACACCTTGTATAACCACCAAGTTTAGCCAAGTAGATTAAGATCTCGGAAAAGTTTTCTGAAAATATCACGATCACTTCCCGAAGAGCCAAAGACGCGCCGAATACACCTATGACCAGCGTCAAGTACAACACATTTTGCTCCCTCGGAGGAAATGGCTGCTGGACACAATTTGTCGTATTCCACATGGAAAGCGCTAAACAGACTAAGAACTGGAGTTTTACGTTGTGCTAGTAACCTGAAAAAATAGGGATACCAGGAGAATGACATCTGCAACTGTGGCGCGGTTCAGAATAATCACCATCTACTATTATGCACAGAGATGAGAGAGACCTGCACAGAAGAAGACATATTCTTAGTGAATAACAGGGCCATCTATGTGGCCAATCATTGAAAACACAAAATTTAAATCTGTTGGTGTTCCGGACACGGAAAGTAAGTCAGTACCTTAAAGAAGGTGACTTGGAAAATAGAGTGCTGTGGAGGACGAAAATGGTAAGCTCTAATAGTAAAAAGCCCAAGAAGAAAAAGAAAAAGTTTAACTTAGTATCGTCTACATATATAGATCGCTCCAGAGTATAAGTTAAATAGTAATAAAGGCAAAATTTCACGGTTCAACCGAATTGAATCACTTAGGTAAACGGAGCAGAAATGAAAGCAATGCTATTTACACAGTATCTTGAAAGTGAAGTGTTCAAAACATTACTTTTCGAAAGATGTCGTCGAATAAAGTCGTTAGTTTAGGAGGGCATTAATATGTGATCATTTAATAAAATAATTATCGAAAAACAAGCTAAGAAAACGCCGTCGTTGGTGAGTGATATCATGGGTATTAAGAGGACAAGCCTTAGGAGCTTCAAACCGTCTATTGAGAGAATTTGTAGAAGAGGATCCAGATGCATACCTTAATCAACTTCGCATAAATGAAGCAAAATTTTATGACATTTTTACAATCGTTACACCGTTAATTCAAAAAGAAAATTTGAGGGATGCTTTGCTCGCAAGAGTTCAAACCTTCAATTAGTGATTTAATAGCATTTCCACGACAATCTTCTGTAAAAGTAAATCGTTTAATTCTTGTATTTATAAGAAAAGAATGTACCCTTAGCTTACCCCTCGTTTAATTTTAATATTTTTTAATTTTGCGTTGTCTAGTTTTATACGTGATCTCTGGTTACTAAATACGTTTAAACTCACATCGTTATGCAGAAATAAAATATTAATAATATTGCTAAAGAAAGCAATAAATATAGTTTTATTATACTATTGATTTTTTTAATTATTGCTATTGCTTTACTTTTTTAGGAAATGTGTATATAAATGACCAACAGCTCCTTAACTGGAAGATTGTGCCCTTGGAGTTCAAGAAAGCATGGAATAATGTATTAACCTCTTGGCAGACAACAACCTCCAGTTCTGGTCCAGCTTTATATCTCGCTTCATTAATCCTAGACTCGGATATCAGAGACACTTACATAGACATGAGCAACTGGACAAAAGGTTTAGTGATAGTAAATGGTTTTCCGATTGGAAAATATTTCAAATTAGGACCTCAACAAGCCATATACTTACCAGCGCCATTTTTACATTCTGGGGAAAATAAGATTATTATTTTTGAACATTTCAAAGCTAGTGACGAAATCAGTTTTGTAACTGATCCCATTTACGTTACACATTGATACCATTTGTTACTTTTGTAGGTGGTTTCTAATAAAGAATTATTTTTAAATTTCCTACCGTGGCATTTATTTGCCTATAATAGTATCTGGCATATTTTTTTGTTAATTCTACGAATTAACAACTATTATAGTTTGCGAATATGATTATATAATAACAGACAAAAAGCAAATTATCCAAGATGTCTACAGACCAGTAGGAGCTAGAGTAACGATAAACCTACAAAAAGAAAGAGCAGAGATGATAAACAGTTGCAAACGCATAGTTTGGAATTCACCAAATCAGCCAGAAGCATATATAAAAAATATAGCCGAAACTTTACAGAGTAATAATCCCAAACCTCGAAGTGTCGACGATCACAATAAATTAATAACAGACTCGGTTAGAAACGCACAACTCAAATTTAGCAAGAAAAATTACACCAAAGGTGAAAAGATTAGCAAAGATACAAAAGCTCTCGTGGAAATACGACGAAACCTAAGCGAGAACGAAAAGGGAAACAAAGAAGAATATAGAAAACTAAATAAAATAATTTCAGCGGAAATTAGAAAATATATAAGAAGATATAATACTAATGTAATTACTCAAACAGTAGAAGAGAAAAAAGTTTTAAAGATAATGAAAAGAAAACTCACTCAAAGTAGAAAAAGAAATATACAAACTGAGAGATAAAGACGGAAAGGCAACAACAGATAAACAAAACATTCTGAAAATAACCAGAGAGTTTTATAAAGACCTCTATACCAGACAAAGACCACAAGACAATTTCCCGATACAAGTAAAGACTCTCATAAATCAGGGAACGCAAATACTTTTACTCATTACTGTGTCAGAAGTAAGAGCAGCTTTAAAGGATATGAAGAACCATCGATCGCCTGGTGATGATGGATTCGTTATTGAGGCAATAAAACCAGGAGGAGAAATTCTATTAAAATCAGTAAGCGAACTGTTTAATAAATGTTTACATGCGGGTACGATTCCAAAACACTGGAACAATGCAGTGATAGTCTTGTTACACAAAAAAGGCGATATTACTAAATTAAAAAATTATAGACCCATCAGTCTCTTGAGGCATATGAACAAACTCTTTATGAAAATCTTAAAAAAGAGACTAGCACCTAAACTTGATTTCTATCAGCCCAAAGAACAGGCAGGCTTCAGGGTAGGATATGGCACAAATGATCATTTGCACATTATAAAGGTCTTAATAGAAAAGTGCATCGAGTACAACATACCACCGGTTCTTGCATTTGTCGATTACGAAAAGGTTTTTGATTCTGTTGAGTTTGAGTACTGGAAGCCCTAAATCAAAGCCGAATAGATTACTGGCCTTCTTCTTTGAGTGCCTCTTCTATCGGAGATTGGATATCATTATGGCGATTCTAATTTTGTTTACTGCTGTTTTGAATAATTCGTTAGTGGTACAGCCAAACCACTCTCTTAAATTTCTCATCCAGGACATTCTTCTACGGCCTGGATTTCTGCGTCCTTGGATTTTTCCTTGCAATATATTTTGTAGGAATGTACGGTACTTTTGTCCTCTCATCAGGTGGCTTAAGTATTCAAGTTTTATCTTTTTTATATTCATAATATAAAAGTTTAGAAGTTTTAGAATATAGAAGTTTAAGACGTTATTGAAAGAACCCCGATGCTTAAGTGGAACTGGGCAGGGCACTTAGCCAGAACACAAAATGGACGGGGGATAAAACGTATTATGGAATGGAGGGTCAGAAACTATAAAAGAAGCCGAAGACGACCACCGACTAGATGGACCGATGATATAAAACGCGTAGGGGGAAACTGGCTACAAGCGGCCCAGTGTAGAGAACACTGAAAAGAACTGAGGGGGCCTATGTCCATCAGTGGATGCGATTGGCTAATTGATGGTAGTTTGCGTAACAAAACTAACACACATTATCTTTTCACTATGATTGTGTAAAATACATAAGATATAATAAACAAGCAAAAAGAAAAATATAAAACATCACGATTAAATATATTTGTACAAAAATGTTCTTTATTAAAATACTGAATAAAAAAATAATAAGTTATAGTTAAACAATAAAATTTTTGGTTTCCGAATTCGACGTTCCGACGCATGATAACATTACTGACATTTGCTGCGACATCCTTTGTGATACTCTTCGCATATAATCCGGCATAGTTTGCTGTGCTTTGGTTGCAATAATTTCCAGAATATCTTTATGGTAGAGTTTGTGCGACTTCTTACGCTCGTCTTCAGTGACAGGTTTGTCATCCAGGTGAACTAACTTTGGGAAAAGGGACAAAATAAATAATCTAAAATAAATGATTTAATTATTGTTAATTGTTACAGCTAAATATGTACAAAATATAAGGTAGGTCTGTATCTTAGAACGGACATGATTGCTCCAACAAGGAGGTTGTTGAGAATGTAATACATTTATATTGTATACACAGATATATTGGTGTAAGAGTAAGCGGAACACACCCATAGTGTCATGGGTTGACATGACAGACAATAATAGTAATGTCAATGAGTATCATGTAGTTGTAGGTAGTAGTAAGAAGTATGGTGGCTTAAGTTAGGTTAGTTAATTAGTATGTATGTTATAGGAAATAAAGCCTTTTATAATAGTAGTAAAGTACGACTATTTATTTTCCAAATCCACACCTTAACATGGTAGCAGAGGTCCGTGGTTGGAAAGTCGTACCTTTTACAACAGAAAAAGTTTGGTGCAGTTTGAAAAAAAAAGTGTGACACATGATGGCAGGTAGTAGTGATTTTAGAATACCTATATTCGATGGGGAGAATTATAAAATGTGGAAAAAACGTCTTATGCTATTTTTGAAAATGAAGAAGTGTGATGTTGTGGTAACCAGACCGAAAAATGAAAATGATGATACAAATTGGGATGACGATGATGTAAAAGCAATGAATTATATATGCGGTGCAATATCGGATCGACAGATGGAGTACATCGACGAAAAAAACTACGGCGTATGAGATGATAAAGAAATTTGATAATTTATATTTGAAAGAATCAACGGCATTGCAGATAGTATGTAGAAATAACTTGGAAAGATTAAAATTGAACAACTATGGAGACTGTGCAACATTTTTTAGTGACTTCGAAAAAGCTATAAACGAGTTAAAAAGCGCGGGTGCTAGTGTGTCTGAAAAGGAAAAATTGAACTATATGTTAAACACGTTGCCAGAGTCGTACAGTTATATTGGTGATTTAATAGATACATTAAAAGAAGATGATCAAACTGCAGACTACGTAGGGAAGGTGGGGGAATGGTGCGCACCTAAGCGAGAATCGTTGTGGTGGTCAACTCTTAAACATAAAAAATAAAATAAAAACGTTATCTGATACCCTAATTATTCTACTTTCAGTATGCACTATAATAGATATTGAATTTCTTAACATAATCATATATAATTAGAAAAAGTAAAAAATTGCATTTGCGCACCGTTCCCCACCCCATGGGGTAACTGTGCGCACAGGGTGGGGAACAGTGCGCAGTAGTTTGGAATATACAAGTACCTAATAATACAGTGGTATAAAAACAAATTCACATGCAAGAACAAATATTTATTGTACGAGTGATTATATACCTATAATGTTAAGTAGGTATCTGTTTAACCTTGACAAAAGTCGCAAATGTATTGTTCGGGGGCATCTTTACCGGTACATGCCGCGTGGTTCCATAAGCCACATGCAACACACCGGTACCATAGTTCGCTTTTTCCATGTTCTCCACATATGCCACATAATTCAGTCCGCACGTCAGGTTCTGCATCAAATGGAACATAGTTGGGGTTGATATCGTCTACTTCATCATCGTCACAAATGTCACTATCGTCTATGTCAGATACCTCTGATGATTCAGGCGTTGCTGGTTTCTTATTTCTCCCTCTTTTAATTTCCGGAGACTGACATATGCGTTTTTTTTACTTTTTTTGCAACATTCTCTTTTGCCGTTATTTTTCTTGTAGTGGTTCCGTAGAAGGAGTGAGGTGGGATCGAGAAATAAGCATTCTCGATTTCATCTTCCTCGTCACGTTCTTGTGCATCAAGTTCAGGTGTTGGAGCCCTCTTCATTTTCTTATTATCTTTCTTAATATTGTTCTTTCCTAATGTTTTGACACTTTTTAATTTCATGTTTTTTTTCACGTCTTTTTCCCTTTTCTTTGCTTGAGCTTGTTCTAATCGTTCTTTTAGGGGTGTGCTAGTCAATATTTCAGAGTGTTGTTTCGAACGAGACACTGTTTTTACTCTTCCTTTTTCTTTTCTCCTTGGAATAGGTGCAAATTGGAAGAATGAATTATTTAATGTAGATGTCGATGGTAGATGGTTGTGTCCAGACTTAGATGTAGATGGTAGATGATCTTGTTCAGCGGTAGATGTACATGGTAGATGACCTTGAATAGGTAGATCCTGCTGCTGTTGTTTTGGCATATGAGCTGTCTGTCTATCTTCACCGTCTGAATTTTCACTAGGTTCGGGTGTTGCCGGATTAGGAATTTTTTGTAGATTTGGCTGAGATGCAAGTGTTAATAAATTAGCGCTACGTTCGGGAGAACCTTCTACTACAAACTGTCTCATTTCGTTGGCCGGAGCGAAATCATCTTCGTTGAATTTGTTAGGGTCAAATGGCCTTATTCCAGCAGAACGAAATCCCGAAACTGCTTTCTCCATCGATGCGACTTTTACGAACGCTTTATTTAACAGCTCAGCTACGTCATATTCAGTGATCTTTTCATGGCCTGTTGTAGTTAAATAAATATCATACTCCCTGTATAGCGCATTTTTTAAAGGACCAAAGAAGGATAGGTCAAGGGGTTGAAGGTGATGGGAAGTATGTGGCGGAAGGGACACCATATGAATATGATTTGACTTACAGAAATCGTATGCCTCTATGGATATATGGCTTGAATGGTTGTCAAGGATAAGGAGAATCGGGTCATTTAAAGTGGGATTTGCCTGTTTTTCGAAGTGCATTAACCAATCAAGAAAAAGTTCAGAATTCATCCATCCATTTTTTGAACATTTATAGTTAGCACCAGTTGGCCCATTTTTCTGCAGCGCAGGAGCCATTCTCTTTCTGGGATATATCAGCATGGGCGCGATATAATTTCCTGTGGCACTCATGCAAAATACGGCTGTAATGGTCCTCCCTCTTTCACCTGAAATAGCAGCTCCTACTTTTTTTACACCCTTACGTCCATAAACCTTCGGGCACTTCTTCTGTACAGTGGTTACACCCGTCTCGTCCATATTATATATCCTGTTTGCTTCAAATTTAAATTTTTGTAAAACTTTCTCGAGATTTGAATAAAAAAGTTTTAACTCGTCCGCATTAAATGCAGCAATTCGATTAAGACTAGTCCCCTCAGGCTGTCTCAATGATATTTCAGGATTTCGCTTGAGAAACCCATACAACCAATCTTTGCCTGCTAACTGAGTTTGTTTATTGAAATTATTTGGAATATTTTTCTGTTGAGCATAATTAAACGCTAACTGCCTCAGTTGTCGGGGCGTTACGCCGTAAAACAATTTTGCGAGTGTCAGAATATAGTGGGTTAATTCAGCTTCCACTTCTGCTGTAAAAATCGCCTTTCTACCGAGATGGGGGATTTTTAGTTGATTTAGAGAAAGCTTTTTTCTGAGTGTTGATTCAGGAATACCAAAAGACCTCCCAACTTCTCGTATTTTCCTCCCATCGTTTCTAATTGCATTCAGTGCAGTCTCCAGCAATTCATCACTATATTGATGGATTTCAGTCTTTCGAACGTAATTTCGTGGCATCTGAAAATAAAAGACGGATTTTAGTACCCAAAAACGATAACAATATTGCTTCATATTTAATTGATTAGTGGGTAACCGTGCGCATTTTCGCGCACGGTTACCCCACTATGGTTTAAAAACGTAATTACATCATCCTACAAAAATTACTTATCTAAATGCAACCAAATGGTGTGCATATATGCAGCAGATGATATTCTTTAAGAATATAATTATTTCAAAACAAGTAGTTAAGATTTACGGACTCACCGTCTTAATTTGTGCAAGTGGAAAATAGTAACAAAAACCTCAAATGCACACTTTCGCCTTTCACTAAGTACACAACTCAACTGCAGTGGCAGTTAATGGCTTCAGAGACTCTGTGCATGTTCCCGCTTAAGCCTGTTCGGGAGGGGACTCTCAGTATGCCGCGTAATTTGAATTTTAATGGTGCGCACCGTTCCCCACCGCGCACGGTTCCCCCACTTTCCCCTAAAAACTAAGGTTATGATGTCCGAATTAAAAAATCAAAACAATGATTTTGGAAGAAAATCCAGTACATTTGTGGTAAATAAAGGTCGACAGGATCGATCATGCTTCCAGTGTGGCGAAGTTGGTCATTTCAAGCGAGATTGCAAAAATGGCGCCAATCAAGCGTCGGGTAATGGCGGACAAACGACAAGCAGTAGAGGCTGGTGGAGAGAAACGCGAGGTCGACAAGAAGCCGGAAGAGGAAGCTACGTCAGAGGACGTGGCCACTCACGTGGACAGCGCGGAACGCATGGAACAAGTGCACAGCGGTTCAACCGACAAGGACAGAAGAACGAAGAGCGAAACAGTGCTTCTTGGCTTACAACAGTAGCTCTTGGTAAGGATATGTCAGTTATTGCACAAAATACTGAAATAGGTAATGTAAATAATTGTATTGAAATAAAATGGCTTTTAGATAGTGGTTGTACAGACCACATTATTAATGATGAAAAATTATTTGATAAATGTAAATTACTTAAAGATCCCATTAATGTTTATTTAGGAGATAATAGGGTTGTAAAAGCTACTAAAATTGGAAATGTTTTAAGTTACTTTGATGCTTTTGGTAAAAAGAATTTAGTAGATATGCAAAATGTTTTCTATGTTAAAGATATGAAATCAAATTTGATAAGTTATAGCAAAATAACAGAAAATAATAAGATTATTTCTCTAGGTAATATTTCAAAAGTTTTTGATAAACTTGGTAATATAACAGCAGTTGCTTTAAAAAATAATGGCTTATATATTATGAAAAGTAAATTAAAATCAGTTGAATTGCATGTAAATGTTGCAAATAAAGATATGAATAATATGAATCAAAAGGAAAAATGGCATCGTTTATTAGGTCATGTAAATTTTAAATATTTGAATATTTTATCTAAAGATCAGCTGTTGAATGGAATTCCTAATGAGTTTGAATCTGAATTTATGAAATGTAAGATTTGTATTGAAAGTAAAATGCATAATATTCCGTTTGTAGTAAACAGTAGAAAAAAA